CTTTATTTCAATTAGTGTATCCTTTGTTTCTGACTGGATCTTTTTTATGCTGTTAAGGTCCTCACTAAGTCCCTTGAGCATCCTTATAACCAGTGTTTTGAACTCTGCATCTGATAGATTGCTTATCTCCATTTTGTTTAGTTCTTTTTCTGCAGTTTTGATCTATTCTTTCATTTGGGCTATATTTCTTTGTCTCCTGGTGGCAGCCTCCCTGTGTTTGTTTCTATGTACTAGGTAGAGCTCCTTTGACTCCACGTCTTGGTAATGTGGCCTAATATAGCAGGTGTCCTATAGGGTCCAGTGGCACAACTTCCTCTATCACCAAAGCTGGGTACTTGAGGTGCACCCTTTGTGGGCTGAGTACACCCTCCTCTTGTATTTGAGCCTTGGTTGCTGTTGGCAGGTCAGTGGGAAGGGTTTAGCCATGCCAGTAAGCTGCAAAAACTGGCTGTGACCTCTGCCCTCCATGGAAGATCAGCCCTGAAGGGGGCAGGGTGGTGGTGCTCTGATACAGTCTGTAGCTGTCCACTGGGTGCACAGGCTTGGTGGTTTCCGGGGTGGTGCAGACCAACGTTAGCTCCCAGCTGTGTTCTGCCCAAGACCACCCTGCCTGAGCTGTAAAACAATCAGAGATGGCTGCCACTTGTGCTGGGCTTAGAGATTCCCAGGTGAAGCCAAGCTGTGAGTCTAAGCTGGATGGGATGCTGCAAGTGCCAGGCCTGGGGCCACTTAGCAAGAGGTATGGGGGCTGGGGGCTCTCTCAGGCTGGCTGCTGCTTGTTTGAGAGTAAGAAGTTTTGAAGCATGAGCCAAGACCAACCATTCATACGGAAAAGTCATTTTTAACAGCTTGAGTGGGCCCATAAGTTGAGTGGGATGGAGCTCTGGGGATCTCCAGAGCAGAGAAAACAGTGTCAGATACATTGATGGAGTCTCAGAGTCACCCACCTCCTGGCTCTGTGGGGAGAGGGTTGAGAAAAGGGACGATGGCCTCTGCCTGCCGTTCTGTCTAAGAGAAAGCTGTCCCCCAGCTTTCACCTTGATGCCAGACACTTCTGTTTCCCCCTTGTATGCCACTGTGCCTTTCAAGCTGCTACCCCAGTGCAGAGTGAGTTTGAGTAAGTCCATGTGTGGGTTCTTTAAGAGGAACTGCTTGGTACTCCAGAAGTTTCTTTCCCAACTCAAGTCCCACTGGTTTTTGCAGCCAGATATGGGGACTTACCTTCTTGGGACTGGATCTCTGGGTTGGGGGAGTTGGTGTGGGGCTGGGACTCCTCGCTTCTGAGATATCCCTCCTAAATTTTTATCCACCTCACATGGATTTGAGACCAGCTGGTTCTGTGTCTCCACTCCTACTACCAGTCTGGATGGATGTGGTTTCTTTAATTTCATAGTTGTCAGACTTCTATTGAACTTGATTTCTGATGGTTTTGAGTTACAGTTGTTCTATATTTTAGTTGTAATGTTGATGTGGTTGTGCAAGGAGGTGAGCTGTGTTTTTCTATGCTGCCATCTTGATAAGAAGACAATCCCAGGGCGACTTCTTTATGAAGTATAGTAGGCATGGGGCCTCAGGCCCACAGTGTTTTATTTTCTTTCAGAATAAGAATGGAGCCCTGGCTGGTGTGGCTCAGTGGATTATGTGCTGGCCTGTGAACCAAAGAGTCACCAGTTAGATTCCCAGTCAGGGCACATGTCTGGGTTGTGGGCCAGGTCCCCAGTAGGGGGTGTGCAAGAGGCAACCACATACTGATGTTTCTCTCCCTCTCTTTCTCCCTCCCTTCCCTTCTCTAAAATATATCAAATCTTAAAAAAAAAAAAAGACTAAGAAAGAAAAAAAATGAAATTTTAGGTCGAGGAAAAATTTTAATGTACAGTATTAATATATTTTTCTTTACACCACTGTAGTTGCAAGATATAATTTTTAATATTTTTAATGGAAGAAGGGACTCTTGAAGACACAAGTGCCTAAGGCCCATGAAAATCATAATGTGGCCCTGGTGGAGTCAGAATTCATATCAGGTTATTCTGCCTCTAAAGTTCATGTTTTCTCTAGTCTAGTACAACTCTTCTTTACAGCTGAAGAAATTGAAGTCCAAGGCTACTCAGCAAATGGATGACAGAACCCGGGGGAGAATGCATCATTTCCATCAGTCCAACTACCATATCCTGCAGTATGACAGCACCACCTGGTGGTATTTAGGGTAACTTCCTTTAGTAAAAGGATGAACCTAGAATGGGTACGGGTTCACATAACCCCAGGAAGCAGCTGTGAACCAGTCTGCCCTTAGGCTCCATACTCAGCAGTGAGGAAGCCAAGTGAAGGAGCCAATGTCACACGCTCAGCTTAGGTTGTCATCAGACTTTGCACATCAACACCCCCCCCCCCCAACACACACACCTCTCCCAGGGTAACGAAGTTATCCTTCAGAGTTAATATCTGCAAAGTGCTTAGATCCAATAGAGGCAGCATGTGAACCAATTTGTAATTTGAAGTTTCCTAGTAGCCACATTTAAAAAAGAGAAACAAGTAAAATTACTTTTAAAAGATGTTTTATTTAATCTAGGGTTCAGCAAACTATAGCCTGTAGGTCAAACCTAGCCCACCACCTGTTTTTTTTTAATAAAGTTTTATTAGATCACAGCCATGCTCATATGTTTATGTCCTGTCCATGGCTGCTTCTACACTATAGCAGCAGAGCTGAGTAGTTTTGTAGTTCAGACCACATGGCCCACAAAGCTGAAAATATTTACCATCTAGTCCTTTACAGAGAAAGTTTGTCAGTCTCTAATTTAACTCAATATACACCAATTTGGTCATTTTAACATGTAATTCAGTATAAAAACTATTAATGAGATATTTTAAATTTTTATCATATAAAACCTCCAAAATCCAGTGTGCCTTTTAGTCTTAATTTGGATGAGACATTCGAAATGCTCAGTGGATACACGAGGCTCACGACCACGGAATTGGGCAGTGCAGGCTCAGAAAAAGGCCTGCATATTGCAATTATCTTACAGGTGCTCATTAAGTACACAATGAGTAGTTATGTAGTTAACAAATGAATACATACATAAATAAATTCCCCAGTTGAATTAAGCCCTAATGTCCGGGAACACCCACTGCCTGTCACAAATCAAGCCCTCTCCCATGCCTCCAGACAGATGCTAGCTACCTAGTACCGTCTTTGGGAGAACTGAGAAAATTGTCACCCAAATCGTTTTCAGTAAGGCTTAATTTACACACAAAATCCCAACTGAGAAAGGCTGCCCTGGTGGTAGCCTGTCCTCTTCAAAGCAGCTTGCAGACTTGCTGATAGAGAGTATCATAATAACAATTAACATAATTCACACATGTAGAGCCACACTTGCTAGATGTTGTCTGAGCATTGTTTCATTAAATGACAAAAATAATGGTGACCTCCCTCAGGAAGTCTCCCACACTGGCTTTGGTGCCCTCTGTGCTCCAAAGGTGCCCACTCTCCCCACCCCAGCCCTTCTCCCTCCAGGCTGTGAGCTCCAAGATCTCTCTCCTTTATGGCCCAGAGGCCCAGCCTGACCTGGCCCACTGGAGCTGCTGCACCAGTATATGCTGCTTTCAATCAAATGGCCCCAGAGTAACCCAAAGGACTACGCGATATTTGATTAAATTCAGCAGGTACCAGTATGTGTCAAGCACCTCTGGTGTGCACAGTGGCAGTGAGAGTTCCAGCAGAATCCCACGCACACGTTGGCCCTGTTCACACTCTTTCCCACTCAATAACTTTCCCAAAGTCGACAGGCAAACCCAGGCAAGTCAATCCATTTGCAGTGGCCTAGCTCTTCTGTGACATTTCGAGCTGAAAGGCGGACCGGGAGAGACCTCTGGAAAATTCCTCTGGAGGTAGCTCTTGGAAGAGCAGTTAGTTTGCCCAGTTCTTCCTTTGGCCAGCCTGGGGGGCAGCTCTTTAGTGGGTGGGGTGGAGGGGCGCCACAGTGCCCTGATGAAGCCAGGTGTGCCCATGAGCATTTTGGCTTCACAAAAAGCTGTGTGCAGGATGACTCTCTGGGCTCCCTACATGCCTGAGGCCTTGGAAGCAACAAGATGTTCTGTGCACAATACTGGACACGGCTGGGATTCTGGGAGAGACCTCATCCCAAGGAAGGGAAGAAGGCCTTTCAAGATGGCCCCAGTGACCTAGGTTTAGCTATCAATCAGAGATATCATGGGATGAATTATATCCCCTTTACAAGAGATACATTGAAGTCCTAACCTCCAGAATGTGACCTGATATGGAAATAGGATCCTAACGGATGTAATTAGGTAAGATGAGGTAACTAAAGTAAATCCAGCTCCAACTTCAATAACACTGGTGGCCATGTGACAACTGACACACAGGACCAACACCATGTGATGACAAAGGCAGGGCGGAGTTATGCAGCTGCAGGCCCAGGAAGGCCAAGGGCTGCCTGCACTCTGCAGAAACCAAGAAGAGGAGAGAAAGGACGCCCTGCAGGTTTCAGAGAGAGCTCGGCTTTTAGACTTTGTTACCAGCAGCCCTGGTGAACTAATACAGGAGGGAACTTCTGAGTTTAGGGTGGTGGCTGAGCCCAAATCCACCCCAGATCAGCCACAGGACAAGTCAGGCCCAGTGGCAGAAATGGACTAGTGTCAGGAACCCTTTCTCTTCCTTTTCCTGGGCACCTGGTTGCACAGCACTCCCAGCTTTCTCCCACCCAGAAATCACATGACCAATAGACTATGCTAGGAAGTGACATTCATCAGCTCCAGGCCAAGGTGGTTAAGAGTGGGCATGACCTCTCCAGGCTTTTTGTCTCTCTTCCCCTGTTCCCCAGTTTGATGTAAGGGACTCAGGACAGGAATCTGAGGTCCTAGGAGATGGCAGAGCCATCAGATGGTAGAAGCCTGGATCCCCAGATCAGTATGTGGCAGGTGGCCCATGAACATCAGATTACGCTGTACTTTAAGAAACACATTTTATTGGTTTAAGAAACTGGGATTTAGGGGCTGTTTGTTTGTTAAAGCAGTGAGGCAAGCCTAAGCCATGCAGGGCCTGGGGATGAGAGAAGAAGTGAGTAAACATGGAAAGTGGGATACATCGGGACCGTTGTGTTCTGTTGTGGGTCCCTTCGACAGAGTGCAGAGATCGGGAGGACAGGGACATAGTCCCCATCCTCTTAACCCCTTAAAGACATAGTGAGTGCTCCCTGCCCCAGGTCTGCAGCTAGAGCACTTGGGGCTTCTACTCTCTCCCCCAGGAGAGTTGCACAGGCTGGGGATGGTGGCGGGTAGTGGGCAGATGCTCTGTGAAGAGTGAGGTCACTGAGGGCAGTCAAGGGGCAGCAGGTGGGCCTCCCTGAGTCCCAGTGGCAGCACTCATGCCCATCCATGCTCAGCAGAGATGGGGCCACACATAACAGGGAGGTGGCACCGGCAGCACTGCCCGTCTCCAGGATCCAGATGGACCAAGGGAAAAGGAAGGAGCCGCTTCTCAATCCCTTGTGAGTTCACATTAGCTGGTCTCTTCGCTGTTGAAAATGGAAGACACCACTTTTAACATAAAAGGTTTGTGTAATGGGCTGGGACCTGGCGTACACTGAAGACCTGGTGTCCTTCATGGCATCCCCTGGAACAGAGCAAAGGCCTGGGTCAGCAAGGGCCACCATGCCTCCCGCCCACCCTCGCCCTACCCGAAGGGCTGAGGGTCATCAGGCACAGGCTGCTGCAGCTGCTCCCAGTAAAACAGTGAAATCCTCTGTACAGTTAGAAATGGCCACTGTCCCTTTGCCCCTTGACCTCTACTGTAGTGCCTCCATTATTCCCTAGGATCCAATAACTAAGGAGTGTGCCTGGCATAGCATGGAAACCTTGACACTCTGCTTTGGCTCAAGGACCAAAATGTGCCCTGATGGGTGGTACACAGGCCATTTCATTTGTTAACTACTTTAACCCTATCCCTTCCCCGAGGTCACTTACCCCTCATCACATTGCTCCCCCTGTCTGGTGACACCCCACCCATCCCAGTGCTCCATGGTGACCACCTCCAGGGTCCTACCCAAGGCTGAACTATCCCCGAAAATGCCAATGGGCTGCAAATCCTGCCTGTTGGAAACAGTAATGACAATACCGGTCACCATTTGTTGAGCACTTACTATGTTCCAGGCATCGACTGGTGCTTTCTCTATGTGAAAGGGCATTTGGGGCGGACCCTGCTGGGGTCCAGACAATGCCTTCAACCCCTCTTTCCTGTATCTCAGTGCTTCCTCTGGGAAAACACCACTTCTGTCTGTAGCTGTGTTGGGGAGGTTGGAGAAGGGGTCAACAAAAGACCCATCATCTGTTCCCCACCTGGCCCCTGACCGGCTGGGTTAAGGGCATGAGGCCACTCTTACAGGATGTTCCAGAGTTACTGTGGGCTTAAGCAGAACCACCACGGAGGGAAACAGTCTTTGCCCTGAACACAGCTCCACCCTAGTACCCACGGGGACATCCAGAATCAGCTCCCCTGGATGCCCAGTGGCATTTGAATTTCAGATAAACAATGAATAATTTTTCAGTGTACTCTCTGGGACATACACATGCTAAAAAATTATTTACCTGAAACTCAAAGATAACTGGGTATTCTGTATTTTAATTTGCTGGATCTGGTACCCCACACCTGGCAGTGGGCATGGGCTGTGGGAGGGGCAGGAGGGAAGAACAGGGGAGGCCAACATGGTGCCCAAACTGTGACTCCGTCTGTGGGCACAGGGTGTCAGGTCCCTCTCAGAAGAAGCCAATGAAGCAGATACAACTCAGGCCTCCGATCAGCATCCCCTGCCCTGACTGCCCTGTCTACCACAGCAGCCCCTCAGGCTCCCTCTCCTCCTCCTGGTTTCTCTTTTTATAGGCTTGATGCTCAAGTGTCCACGGGCCAGCAGCATCAATGCCCTTGGAGAACCTGTTAGAAATGCAGATCTCGCCCCCCCACCTGTCCTAAACTCACCTGCTACATGGGAAACTACATTTTAACAATATTCACAGGTGGTTCCCGTGCACGGCAGAGACTGGAAAAGCACTGCTCTGTAGCACGGACACGACGTCACACATCTGTCATCGTCCACCATCTGTGAGCAGCTGTGTCTGTCCTGTTCTCTGTGGTGCCCCAGGGACAAAAGTGCCTGACACGTATCAGGTGCTCAGTAAAATTGTTGAAAGAATGAACGAACAGACCAGAATCCAGACCCAGGCCTCCTAATTTCAAACTGAGTCACACTCTTCTGGGCCTGTTCATCCACGAACTCATTTGGGGCAGAGCTAGGATTCAGTGACTTCAAATCACCCTCTGTCCTACCTGTGGGGCTTTTGTGAGGATAATTCATTCCTCCTCAGGGTGATTTCCTACCTGATCTCCCCAAAACCCTGTGACATAGGAAGGCAGATACTAATTTATTCCCATTTATGTAGAAACTGAGACCTAGGGAAGTTAAGGTTCTTGTTTGAGCTCACACAATTTGGAAGTAGTGTAGCAGGATTTGAACTCACACTTTCTGATTCCAAATGGGGGCTTCATTCCCTAGTCCATGTTCATTGACTTATTCTTTCATTCCAGAGTACCAGCACATCCAAAAAGAGGCCACTTCAGGCTGGAAGGTACTAGGACATCAATAAAGTTCACTAGGAAGCCCTGGGCTCACCAGGCCTGATGGATACTCAAGGGATGGTGGTACAATGGGCCTAGGGCTCTTGCAGACTCAAAAAGTGGTGGAAGCACAGAGGGACTTGAATCTGCCTGGAGGACTCTCGAAAGACTTCCTGGAAGCAGTGACATGTGATGTGAAAGGCAGCAGAGGGAGGGCAGGAGGCATGTTCTGGGCAGAGACACCAGAATGTGCAGAGGCCTGGAGGTGTGCCAGTGCTGGCCTGCTCCGAGAGCAGGGAGCCGGGGGAAGTGCTGGTAAGGGAGGGGCGATGAAGCACGAGGCTGGGGAGGGGGCCAGGCCCACCTACAAAGGTTTGGAATGGCAAGATGGTGGTGGTCCTTACCCACGTGCCAGCCATACTCCCAGGATGACAAGACCGGGTACTGAAACTTCTCCTCTGGCTTCTGCTGATGCCGCTCCCGGAGGTACAAGGCCCGGCCCTGGCCGTCATGGGAGATGCCTTGGAAGAGGAGCTGCAGGGTGCTTGTGGGTACCTGCTTCATCCCTAAGTCTTTCGGTTTGGCCTGGCCTGCTGACTCTGAGTTGCTCTTTAGGCCTCCCAGCCTCTGTCTCCCCTGGGCCAGGGGCCCTGGACCCCCACTTTCCTGGAGAGCTGATCCTGGACCTCCTTGGTCTCCGGCAGTCTGGTCCTTGCTGTCAGGGGAGCTGGGGGCAGGCAAGGGCCCCACTGCCAGGGTTGAGCTGAAGGGGGCCCGCTGGAGCCGCTTCTTGGGCAGGGGCCTCTCCTTGAGGTACTTGTGGCCATAGTTGATCTTCCAGGAGACTCGAGCAGCGGCCTCCTTCCAGATGCGCTCCTGCCAGCAGGCTTGGTTCTGGGAAGTGAACAGATCCTTCATGGCAGGGAAGGGAAGGCGGAGGAGCTGGAAACATTTTGCCCACAGTTCTCAGGCCTGTGTTTGCACTGCTGGTGTCTCGTCTCCAAGGATATGTGCAGCCAATGAGGGCTGGGTTGCCAAGGCCCTGCTGGAGAGGAGTGGCCAGAGATACTGAGGACTAGGGGCCATTAGTAGGCTGTAGGAGAGCCCAGGCAGAAAAAGGAGCAGAGTCACTACAACCCACCCAGGGTGCTTGGCAGGAGGCTGTATTCCACCCCAGAGACTCAGAGCCCAGGCCTCACACCCAGAGGATATACCTACTATGCACCAGCCACCCAAGAAAGTCCAAAGAAAGGCCCAGTCTTCTCCCTCAGGAAGCTCTGGACACATGGTTGAGGGGTGGGTTACCATGGCAATTTTGGACACCAACTCCTTGGACGCAGCTCTGCCACACCATACCTGCATGGCCTCATTGGCACAATAGGATGATCATGGGGAATGCCCTCAGTATGGAGAGAATGGCATTAGGCCAGTGCGTCACAACTTGGGGCAGTGCCTGGCATGGAGGAAGCCCTCCATGCATGTCAGTGGCTGTTCAACAAGCACCTGCTTGGTAGCTACTACTGCACTGCACTCCATATACCTTAAACTACCCCCTTGGAACATGGGGCCTCTCATAGCCTCCTTTTTAGTTGAGGAAATGGAAGCTTAGGAAAATGATGTGCCTGCTCCAGGGCACATGGCTGGTGTGTGGTGGTACCTCCATGCAAGGCCCTGAGCTGGGGTTTTACTGAGGGATTTCACTTAATCCTCACAGTGACTTACTATCAGGCTTCTTACCAGATGAGGAAACCGAGCTCAGCAACATCAAATGGTCACACTGGGATTGACTCCAAAACGTATGTCCTGTATTAAAAACACAGAACTCTACCATGGGGTGTGACAAGCACCATGAGAGAAGCACAGGCAGGGTGGGACAGAGCAGGACCCACCAGTTTCCAGCAGCTCCCCCTGCCTCGCTGACCAGGGCCCTGCAGGGTTAAGTATCAGTGAGAAAGAGGTTACCCACAATGCTCTGTAGCCACTCACCTTTTCACTCTCTGCTGGGTGTATCCTCATTTATTCATTCAACAAACATTCATTTGCTTTGACCCTATGCCAGGCACAGGGCCAGGTACTAAAGGCAGATGAGGAGGAACAGAGTCCACATGCTTCCTGCCCTCCAGGTTTCACAGACAGACTCACGACTGGGTGGGTAGAAGGGGAGGCAGGGAATGGGGGTGGTCAGGGAAGGCTGCCTAGAGGAGGTCCTCTTTGATTGAGACCTTAACTATAAACACAATGGGACAGGCAGAGTGGGGCAAGACAGAGTGAGACCCCAAGTCTGAAAGGCAAGAAGGCACACAGACTGTCCTCTGTGTCTCAGTCTTTCCAGCTGCCAAATGAGGGCTATGAGGAAGTTTGAGAAGTTTGGGAAGATTAAGAGCCAGCTGGCTAAGTGGGACAACCTAGGTCTGTACGTTTCCTTTGGAGCACTCACAGTGGTCACTGATTAATTGTGCAAACACCTTTTTGTTCCAGATTTTAAAAATTGGCTGTAAGCACCGTTCTTTCCATACTGAGGGCCTTCTTATGTGCCCGGAGCTGCAAGTGAACAAAACCGGCAAAATATCTTGCCCTCAGGGAGCTTGCCTTTTCCCAACGCCATATCTGTATCTCTAATGTACCTCTGGGGGTATTGCCTAGCATACAGTAGGCGCTCAAGAGAAGGCTCATGATGAGGAGGGTACTTCACATCGGCTCTGTTGCAGCTGGGTGGGTTGGGAAGGATGGAGGGAAGAAAGTCTGTAATAGCTGGGCTGAGGGGTGGTAGGTAGGGCCCTGGGGCGGGGCCTGATCTCAGAACTTGAGAGAGCCTCCCTGACCCAGACCGCCCCCAGACTCAGGCTGGTAAGTCAGTCTGGGTGCCAAGCCCGCGAGAAGGTAGAGGTGAGCGTTCCCCTCCTTGGGGCTTCCGAGACCCTGTGCCTTCCGCCCCAAGGGCTGCCCTCGATGCTCCATTCTGAGTGTCCCAAGCGACCCCTGGCGGTCACCAGGGCGATGACAGCTGGGCAGCCGCCCTCCCGCCCAGGAGACAGATCAACAGGCAGAGCCACTGCAAGGTGGATAGTCTCCCCAAGGGAGGGTGCAGAGAGGTGCCCCCAAAGTGCTGCCTTCCAACAGGTCCAAGAACAGCCCACAGCCCACAGGGAGAGCTGCCTTCAGATTCATGGTGTCCACCCTGTGCCACACCCCTGCATGCAGCACTTGGCTTTGGGCCCCATTCCTAAATTTAGGCTCTCAGGGCAGGGACTCATCTTAGCCATTTGCATGCATAGCATTGATTCCGTGAACTCTGACCATGTGCTGGGCATTGTGATGTGCTCTTCACATGCATCTGTCAGTTAATCCTCAGAACACTGTGGAGTAGGTCCTATTACCCCAATTCACTGGAGAGAGAACTGAAGCACTGTTTTCTGTGGGGGGAGGTGATCTTCTGGAGGCTGTGGCAGGGCCAAGTTGATTTTAACCCAATGACCCATGCTTATAACCACCATGCTAAATGACTTCCCTAAAGCCCTCCCCCCATACTCCTTCCACTCTGTGTTGGAAAGCTGTCTCCCCAAAACTCAGGCAGCCCCCTCCCAGCAGCTCTGGATGGGGAATGGTTTGCCCAGCCAGTTGGAGGTTGGTTGTGTTGTAGGAACTTTCTAGAAGTTAATCTTAGACTGTAAGTTTCCCATTATTTTTCCATGTTATGGATGAGGGCACTGAGGCCCAAAGAAGGCAATTGTCTGAGGGGTTCCAGCTGGTGGCAGAGCTGGGACTGGGATCCAGACCTGAACCTGAAGCATCCGACCCACTGCTTTCTGAGTGTTTCCCACACAATGGGCTATTCTGCTGCCGATTGTGCTGGGGGTGAAGCTGACATTTCCGGGGCTTGATGCTTCTGCCAAGGTCTTCTCTGAGATCACCTGCCAGGGTTCAGCATCAGCTTTGCCCTAAAATGTCCACGCCAACACGGAGAGGCACCCTGGTGCCTTGGGAAGGCAGTGGTCAAGGCCAAGGGAGTAATGTGGGCAATACAAGGCTCACAGGTTCTTTCATCTTTGAGCTTTGTCCTGGGGAGATAAGCAAGTCCAAAATTCGAAACAGTCTTGGATGTGAGTCACAAGTCAGGCTTGTAAATTCCCTGTCTCCTGCTTGCCTGCTAGAGCTCTAGAGGAAGACAGAAGGGGTGGGGGGGCACCCTAAATTCCTTGCACATGAGCTGGTCTCCTGTGGGTTCAGGGGCCCAGACAAAAGCCTTATCACAAAGCAAAAAGGATCCCTTTGTTTAAAAAGATTCCTCCCACCATGTGCTTGGGCAGCATCCTTAGGACAAAGCCAGAGGGGGAAAAAAATCAAATTCAAGCTTGCTTTGAGCGATGTGACATTTTCACTCCCTTTTCCAGTTGCAACTTGCTATTGTGAGGAGGAAAAAAGTGAGCTAAACAAGATGTGTTCTGGGAGAGATTTCATTAGTGGACTCCTCTGATTACAAAGCCCCTTCCCCTCCAAGCTTGGAGCGACTCCACTGCTTTCCCAGACTCTGCTTCCATCCGGCCCAGCATGAAGGCCAGAGGGCACTTAAATTAACCTCTTGTTCCCCATTTTAAAATACAGACCTGGGTGGTTGACAGGAATAGAGCACTCATTTTACCATTAACCTTTATTCTGCTAATTTTTCAGGCTGTGCAATTTTCAAAGGAAATTAAATCCCCATGTGCCTGATTCATTTTACACCAAACTCATCAAAATGTGGCTTTCAAGGCCCCTTTGAAGTCTTAAGACCAGACATGTGGTCAAGGGCCCAAGCGTTTACAAGTGCATTGGAAACAGAGACAGGTTGATTAAATGTTTCCTTCTTGGCAGCACTGCTAATGAGTGCTTCCCTGGGTTTCAGAAGGAAATTCGATGAGGAAGAGGCTTGAAGGGGGCAGGGCCTCCCCGGTTGAGGCTCTCTGAAGGGCAGCTGGCAGAGGGCAGCTGGCGTCTGCCTAACCTCCTTCGGCCACTGCAGGGTGACGGTCTGGTCAGCTCCTGGCCGGAAAGGGCAAAGTCAACCAGAGTTGGAGAGGGTCTGGCACCTGGCCATCCGGGGTTAAGTTTCTGTTTTCAAGGTGTTTGTACAAACAATAGCCGGTTCCCATAGCAGCCAGTCCAGGGGCAGATAAGAGCTGCCCCATGGCTCTGGATGCTGACCAGTAGAGGTGCACAGATTTCACCCCAAGATGTCTTTGAAGAAACTGGCAGGGGACCTCCAGGCGCAGCACCAGGTGCTAACAAGCAGCAGACCGTGGCTGAGATGCATACCTCCCAGTGGGATTCCATGGGATCCTCGCCACCACTCTGAGGGTGGCATGCTGAGAGCCTAAGCAACCTCCCCAAGGCCACAAAGCCAGTGAGTGGCCGAGCCAGTGTTTAAGCCCTAAGGTACCGGATGCCAAAGTCCACTCTGTTAACTGTCAAATGCTGCCTCTGCAGAAACCAGCCAGGCTTCAAGAAGGTAGAGAAACCAACGACTGCAGCCCTGTGCTCCTCTGGGGACAGAGCCAGCCTGCTGTGGCCTGTCCAGACCCCCTGGGCAAGGCCGGCACTCCTCCAAGGCCACAGACCTTGTCAGCAGTCCAGGTCCACAGATAAGGGTGCTTGCTCCTTCCAGGAAGGGTAGGGGGAACCTCCTCTTGTCCAACACCCCTCCTACCTCAGAGGTGAACAAATCGCCACCCTGATCAACAAAGGGGTTTCAGGAAGACACACAGAGCAGCACCCCTGCCCCCCCTTTTTTTGGAAAAGACTTTCCAAAAAAAAAAAAAAAGGTATTTTTTCCCTGCTTTCCCTCTACCCTGTAACCTCAATGGAGGATGGAGGAGGGGCAGCTGGGACTTCCCATCACTTCAGCAACTGCCAGGGGCTTATCAGTGGCTCCTGGGCTCCCCTCCTTCTGAGCACCAGCTCTGGCAGAGGTATAA